CAGAATGACGTCCTCACTTTCATGGTATAAATGTGGCTCACCAATAACACCCTCTTGAATATCATTGTGGCTCAGGAGTAGCAGTGCCACAGGAGTGCAGCAGTAGTGCCAGAAACTTCATAACCTATTTACAGCAAAAACAGGGAAGCATTCAAGCCCATAATTTAGTGTCCTTATTTTGTAAACGTCATCAAGCCAGTTCCAACATCACACTGTGAGAGAGAGAGATAGAGATGTCTACATTTTTTTAATTCTCATGGGACATGGGCATGGCTAGCTGGGCCATTGCCCGTCCCTAGTTGCCCTTGAGAAGGTGATGGTGAGCTGCCTTCTTGAACCGCTGCAGTCCATGTGCTATAGGTAGACCCACAATGTCATTGATTTGATAGAGATGTACAAAATGATCAGAAATATAGATAGAGTAGACCGCCAGAGACTTTTTCCTGGGGTGGAGGTAGCTATTACAAGGGGGTATAGTTTTAAAGTGAGTGGAGGTAGATATAGGGGAGACGTTAGAGTTAAGTTCTTTACTCAGAGAATGGTTGGGGCATGGAATGCCTTGCCGGCGAGGGTAGTGGAGTCGGCCTCATTAGGGGCATTTAAGTGGCTATTAGATAGGTATATGGATGATAGTATAAGGTAGGGGTGGAGGTCAGATAGACCTTAGGATTAGGGTAAAAGTTCCGCACAACATCGTGGGCCGAAGGGCCTGAACTGTGCTGTAATGTTCTATGTTCTATGTCATGAGGGAAGGAATTCTGAACTGTATTTGATGCAGAAATGGTGCCGTTCTGTTGCAAGTTAAAGGTGTAAGGAAGATAGCCCAGAGCTACATCCTTTCAAACAAGAATTGTTATTAGCAGCGTTTCAATGCGACTCAGATCACCCTCAGCTGAGAAGGTGTCCCTAGCTGAAAGAAGCCAGCTAAGTTAGTGTGGGACTGAAGTCACATGGCAGCCCAACCAGATCAGATTGGCAGGTTTGCTTAAATGGGCATTACATTCCAGGGAATCTGGGCACTGCCAGAAGATGTCCCATTCTCTTGAAGTGGAGTATGGTTTGCAAATGGCTAGTATCGGTCAAACAGGTCCACGATGATTTGTCTGTCGTTTCTCTGAGAAATTCTTCCAGCAAGGATCAGCAGGACTGATCAAACCAGGAAGTGTTTTTGAGTGTGCAGATTTGGAACACCCCCAAACTTTGTTTGAAGTAACAGTTTCAGCTGAAGACGTGCTGCTCAGCAAGGATTCTGCAATCTGCTTTGTAACTGCTGTATGCCAGGAAATCTTTCACTTTCCAAACTTTTCTTCAGGGGACAGCATTACCAGGGAGGCCAACCATGTGTAGTCCCATATATGGCCACCTAGCGGAGTTAGAACAGTTACAAGGGAAAGACAAAAGTAACAGATGAAAACAAATCTACATCATGGCAGAGGGGTAATGCAGTGGTAATGCCTCTGGACTAGTAATCCAAAACACAGGTTAATGTTCTGGGGACATGGATTCAAATCTTACAATATCAGCTAGATGAAATTTGAATTCAGTAAAATCTGGATTAAAGAGATGGAGTAATGGTACCCCTTAGATACTGCTGATTGTTATTTAAACCCCTCTCTTGTTTCAATAATATCCTTTAGGGAAGGAAATCTGCAATCCCTACCTGAAAACTGAAAGAACTGCACATGCTGGAGATCAGAAATGAAAACAGAAATTGTTGGAGAAATTCAGTAGGGCTGGCAGCAACTGTGGGTAGGAAACAGTGTGAATGTTTCAGGTCCAGTGACCCTTCTTCGGAATTGATTGTAGCTAGGAAAAGGTTGGTATATTTGCTGAGGAGTGGGGAGTCATGGGGTGTGGTGTGGGAGAAGTAAACATTAGGTGGAAATGGAACCCAGAGAGAGAGAGAGAAAAACAGCTAGAAAGACAGAGGAATGGGTAAAGGTTGGCCTGGGAGAATCAATAACTGCTAATGAGGACTGTCAGTGGTTGACAATGGCTTGTGTGTGGTAGCAGCCCATGTGAAACAAGGCCTGGTGTGTGGGGAAGGGTCACTGGACCCCGAAATGTTAACTCTGATTTTTTTTTTTCACAGATGCTGCCAGACCTGCTGAGCTTTTCGAGCAACTTGTTTTTGTTCCTGGTGTGTGGGGATTTGGGTGAGGACATGGGAGAAGGTACTCAGGCCCTAAAATTATTGCACTTGATACTGAGTCCTGAAAGCTGCAGGATCCCCAAGCAGAAAATGAGACAGTGTTCTTCCAGCTTGTGCTGAGCTTGACTGGGGCTCCGAATTCTGAGCAGACAGAAATCTTGGCCAGGGAACATGGTGGTGTATTGAAGTGGCAGGCAACTGGAAGCTCAAGGTGACTTTTGCAGACAAATCATAGGTGTTCTACAAAGCAGTTGCCCAGTCTGTGCTTCATCTCCCCACTCCTTTCGAGTTGGAAGACATCTGATTAGTCTTCCTGTTTTAAAAGCTCACCTATCCTCTTTAGTCAGACCACAAGCCCAACCTCATGGCAATTTAGAGATAAAAAGGTGTGGAGCTGGAGGACACAGCAGGCCAGGCAGCATCAGAGGAGCAGGAAAGCTGACGTTTCGGGTCTGGACCCTTCTTCAGAAAACTTCAGGCAATTTAGTTATAATAAGTGATCATGGCGTTTCATTATTGTCTGGTTATTTTTGTTTCCCCTCCATCACTCACTCAGAAGAACATGAGCTCAAATTCCAGTCCAGAGAGTTGAACACAAATCTATTTGATGCTGTAGTGCAGTGCTGAGGGGGTGCTGCATTGCTAGAGGGTGTTGATTTTTGCAGGTAATGGCATCGACCCTCTCAGAATGGTGTAAATAATAACACGACAGACTTCAAGCAAAAGAATTCCATCCATGCCCCAGACAATACTGCTCCATCAACCAACATCAATAAAGTAAATTACCTGGTCATTTTTACCTTGCTCTGCATAAAATGGACATTGCATTTCCAACAACATGTGACATGCATCTCAGTGGTGTCAGGTCTAAGATTGTGAAGGGTGCTATATAAGTGCAAGTCTTCACCTGAACAATATCTCAAACTTCCACTTCAACCTCGAGGGCACCAGTGTGAATTTATTTTTCAATTCTCACACCTGTCATCCCATGGCCTCTTGCAGTGAGATTGCTGATTGGTGACAGATTTGACACAGTGTCACACCATCAGGCTGGTTCACACAAGGAACTGGTTCAGGAATGAAATTCAATCTGCAACAAATCCAGATTTGCGCTGAACCTGTGGTCTGGGAGCAGCAGGCCAATAAATAATCCGACTTCGCGCCATTTGGTACACAATTATGCTTTTTACTCCATGGACATTAAAAAATCTTAACATTCCTGAGAGCAACGAAAATAATATTGAAATACACAGAAACTCATAGGGAGTGAAAAATTCCTGTTCTGCAATGCACAGAGGTTTAATAATTGTGTGTTCCAATTGTTCTTCCAGCTAATGACTGACTTCTAAAAATACCATCGCCGTAATGCTTCCAAATGCCAGGCTTTTGAGGTAAGTGTCAATCTACCCACATGATTTCCACACTTAACAGCTTGTTCTATTCAACTGAAACAAAGCACAGTTGAGGGGTTTTGTTGGTGCAGAAGCTAACAACAACATTTTGATTTGCCATTGTATCAAACCGCGGGGCTCCAAACTCATGCGAAGGTGAATGAATTAAGTTGTACTTGTGGAAAATAAATAACCAAAACTAGTTCCAGTTTGGAAGTTCCTCAAGGCACCAGAATATTCAGGGCTAACAAGATGCTTAAATAAGTTGGATCACTGCCTGTATTATAACGGGTGAAAGGGATGGGACATTGCTTCAGTCTGGTTGGAATGCTAAATTGCTGAACACAGATATGGCACTGTGAAAGGCTGTAATATTGTCATTGGCTCCGCACATTGTGGTTGGATTAGCATAACCTTCGAAGCGACTGGGAGTAGAAACGTGTCAGATTAGGATATGCAGATGGCCATTCAGCGTTTACATTCTGTTGCACCATTCTATCAAATCAGGGGTGACCAACGCAATATGCTCCAGTGCCCCCAGATACTAACACTTATTAAAGTATTAGAATAATAAATTGTCACATGTGCCTTCTGGAATTATAGTATTGTACAGTATTTTGTATTGATTTAATAAATCCTAGGGCATTATAAATGGTGCAATCCATAGAGACACAGCATTTCTTCTCTGCTCTGAATGGGCCCTGATTTCTGAAGTTATAAGAGAGTTACTTGAGGAAAGAAAAGTCTAATATAATCCAGAAACAAAAACAAAGTTGCTGGAAAAGCTCAGCAGGTCTGGCAGCATCTGTGGAGGAGAAAACAGTTAACGTTTCGGGTCTGGTGACCCTTCCTCAGAACTGTGGATTTGCAGTTTGCTTAAAAGCTTTTATACAAGTTTATATACAAGTTCTGAGGAAGGGTCACCGGACGCGAAACGTTATCTCTGTTTTCTCCTCCACAGATGCTGCCAGACCTGCTGAGCTTTTCCAGCAACTTTGTTTTTGTTCCTGATTTACAGCAACCGCAGTTCTTTTGGTTTTTATCTAATATAATCCATCCTCACAGATTACCATTATTTATTTAACCTTCAGTGGGGCTAGTGATTCACAGCCCTTTTAATATTCTGAACAAGTCATCTTTTGACATGAGTGTGATACAGGAGTCAGTCCATAGTGTCCAGGAATTGAAGAGTAATCTTCCAGCAAAAAACCCAGGGAAAAAAATTACCATCACATTAAAGAATTGTCTGCATTTTAACAAAAAAACCTTCTTTGAACATTTCAGCTTATCAATTATATTTTTAAAAATGGAGATAAGTAAAAGGATAATTTTAAGTTGAGAATCATCCAATTGGGTAGTGAATTGTCATTGGCATCTCATTGGCTGAGGGAAGGCAAGAGGATGGACCAATGGTAGTTGAGGGCATTGGAGGATTGAAGGTCATGTGATGATACTTTCTGGAATACATCCTATCACAGTGGATATCCCTCGTGTGGTATTATCAGCATGTTGCTGCAAGGCAATCCTCTTCAATATTAGCAATGTAAGTGGATTAAATATTTAATGCATTTACATGAAATGCCTTTATTATTTTGATGTAGCCCTTCCGTGTGAAGTGTCTTGAGATTCAAAGATTTAGATTTCCTGACCTCCGTCGTTGGGGTTATGCTAGGGTTGCCAATCCTGCAGGAATGGAAAGTTAATCTTGCAGAAATGGCTGTGAGCTCCACACAGCTCATATTGTTAAAAAGGTCCCTTTTTACTTCTGTGTTGAACACTTTTGTTTATTAGTTATAAAGCTATCTGAATAAAAAGGCTCTTTGACCCAGTTGAGGTAGCAGTTGAGTTCATGCGGTGAAATACCAGGAATGAGTTCAAACAGGTTGGCAATCCTTGGTCGTTATGGGGGCCCTCTCTAATGGAGCAGATAGTTTGGTAATCTAGAGGGGGTGTGGCTGAGGTGGTCACTGAGCTACCCGTAAGAGCAGGCTAATGGAGGACAGACCACGTAACATTGGCAGATTTCATTCCCTAAAGGACGTTACTGAACCACATAGGTTTTTCCAACAATCGACAATAGATGCATGGTCATCATTAGACCTTTAGGTTCAGATTTTTTTTTAAATTGAATTCATCTTCTACCATCTACCGTGGCAGGATTTGATCCCAGAACATTACCTGTGTCTCTGGATTAACAATCGAGCAATAATACCATTAGGCTATCACCTCCCCTTTTTAATGTTCCTATATTAATTTCACTGCAGTTATTCACAATAGTGACATGGAGCTTCATTTCTCTGAGTCCCCTGAACACCCTGCAACCTCATCCCGCCCCCTTGACCTGTCCGTCCTCCCTGGACTGACCTATCCCCTTCCTAACTCCCCATCTACACTCACCTTTACTGGCCCCATCCCCGCCTCTTCGACCTGTTTGTTTCCTCTCCTCTATCCCTCTTCTATCCACCTCCCACTCTCTCCCTATTTATTTCAGAACCCCCTTCCCCTCCCCCTTTTCTGATGAAAGGTCTAGGCCCGAAACGTCAGCCTTTCTGCTCCTATGATGCTGCTTGGCCTGCTGTGTTCATCCAGCCCTGCACCTTGTTGTCTCGGGTTCCCAGCCTGATTAGTTGACCAGCTTATCTACTCTTGGGACAATATAAAGGTCATGATGTCATGCAATATTATGTTATTTTCTGTATTGTTTTACAGTATTCCGAATTAGATCTCTTAATAACATAGAACAGTCACATTTTCTAATGATTGAACAAAATAAACTTGTATAAAAGCTTTTAAGCAAACTGCAAATCCACCGAAAGAATTTTAATACTGCCAATTTTTTGCATTTCTTTCTTCACTGAAATCTTTTCACTAATGTTTCTAGTTGAACAATGACAGAAATTTGAGACAAGATGCAATTAGCCAAGAACAGAATCTTCTGTTGTGGTGGTTTTATGCTCACATCTAGGAGTTTGAATTCAACGCACACTGGTTGAGGAGGAGGCAAGATCCAGAACAGTCTTTAGGCTTAGGTTTCTTTAATACCAGATACAACTAAATATTGTTAACTAAAATACTCTCTCCGTGACTCCCTTGTCCACTCCACACTCCCCTCCAGCCCCACCACCCCCGGCACTTTTCCCTGCAACCGCAGGAAGTGCTATACCTGCCCCTACACCTCCCCCCTCACCCCCATCCCAGGCCCCAAGAAAACCTTCCACATCAAGCAGATGTTCACTTGCACATCTGCTAATGTGGTATACTGCATCCGCTGTTCCCGTGGTAGCCTCCTCTACATCGAGGAAACCAAGCGGCGGCTTGGAGACCGCTTTGTGGAACACCTACACTTGGTTCGCGACAAACAACTGCACCTCCCAGTTGTGAACGACTTCAACTCCCCCTCCCACTCCTTCGACGACATGTCTGTCCTGGGCCTCCTCCAGTGCCACAACGATGCCACCCGAAGGTTGCAGGAACAGCACCTCATATTTCGCTTGGGAACCCTGCAGCCCAATGATATCAATGTGGATTTCACAAGCTTCAAAATCTCCCCTCCCCTGACCACATCCCAAAACCAGCCCAGCTCGTCCCCGCCTCCCTAACCTGTCCTTCCTCCCACCGATCTCCTCCTCCCACCTCAAGCCCCAGCCCCACCCTCACCTCCTACCTACCAGCCTCACCCCGCCCCCTTGACCTGTCCGTTCTCCCTGGACTGACCTATCCCCATCCCAACTCGCCACCTACACTCACCTTTACTGACTCCAACCCCGCCTCTTTGACCTGTCTGTCTCCTCTCCACCTATCTTCTCCTTTATCCATCTTCCATCCGCCTCCCCCACTCTCTCTATTTATTTCAGAATCCCCTTCCCCTCCCCCTTTTCTGAAGAAGGGTCCAGACCCAAAACGTCAGCTTTCCTGCTCCTCTGATGCTGCTTGGCCTGCTGTGTTCATCCAGCTCTGCACCTTGTTATCACTAAATATTATAATCCTTTTTATTCACTTGTGGGATCTGGCCAGCATTTCTTGCCCATCCCTAGTTGCCCTTGAGAAGGTGGTGGTGAGCTGCCTTCTTGAACCGCTGCAGTCCACATCATGTAGGTAGACCCCACAATGCCCTCAGGGAGGGAATGCCAGGATTTTGACCTAGCGACAGTGAGGGAACGGTGAAATATTTCCAAGTTAGGAAAGGTGAGTGGCTTGAAGGGGAACTTACAGGGGGTGATGTTCCCATGTATCTACTGTCCTTGTCCTTCTAGATGGAAGTGATCATGGGGTCTGAAGGTGCTGTCCAAAGAGCTTTGCCAAATTTCAGCAGTGCATCTTGTAGATACTGGTACAGCACTGTGTGTTAGTGGTGGAGAGAGTGGATGTTTGTGGATATGGTACCAATCAAGTGGGCTGCTTTGTCCTGGATGGTGTCAAGCTTGTTGAGTGTTGTTGGGGCTGCATCCCTCCAGGCAAGTGGGGAGTATTCCATCACACTCCTGACTTGTGCCTTGTAGATGGTGAACAGGCTTCAGGGAGTCAGGAGGTGACTTCCTCGTTGCAGTATTCCTAGCCTCTGACTTACTGTTGTAGCCACTGTTTATGTGAAAAGTCTAGTTGAGTTTATGGTCAATAGTAAACACCAGGATGTTGATCGTGAGGAATTCACTGATGGTAACACCAATGAATCTCAAGGTGCAGTGGTTAGATTGTCTCTTGTTGGTTATGGTCATAGCCTGGCGCTTGTGTGGTGCGAATATCACTTGCAACTGGACTGCTTCAGTATCTGAGGAGTCATAAATGGTACTTAACATTGCTTGATCAGCAGCAAACATCCCTCTTCTGACCTTATGATGGAGGGAAGGTCATTGATGAAGCAGCTGAAGGTGGTTGGGCCGAGGACATTACCCCAAGGAACCCCTGCAGAGATGTCCTGGAGCTGAGATGATTGACCTCCAACAATCACAACCATCTTCCTATGTGCCAGGTATGACTCCAATAAGCAAAGAGTTTGCCCTCAATGCCCATTGATTCCAGTTTTGCTAGGGCTTCTTGATGCCACACATTGGTTGAATGTAGCCTTGATGTCAAGGGCTGTCACTCTCTCCTCACTGCTGAAACTCATCTCACTTTTCCATGTTTGAACCAAGGCTGTAATGAGGTCAGGAGCTGTGTGGCCCTGGCGGAACTCAAACTGGGTGTCACTGAGCAGGTTATTGCTGTGTAGGTGCTGCTTGATAGCATTGTACATGACACCTTCCATCACTTTACTGATGATTGAGAGTAGACTGATAGACTGGTAATTGGCCAGGTTGGATTTGTCCTGCTTTTTGTGTACAGAACATACCTGGGCAGTTTTCCACATTGTCAGATGGAGCCAGTGTTTTAACTGTACTGGAACAGCTTGGCTAGGGGAGCGGCAAGTTCTGGAGCACAAGTCTTCAGTACTATTGCCAGAATGTTGTCCAGGCCTATAGCCTTTGCAGTATCCAGTGTCTCCAACCAGTTATTGATATCACATGGAGTAAATAGAATTGGCTGAAGACTGGTATTTATAATGCTTGGGACGGCCGGAGGAGGCTGAGATGGACCATCCACTTGGCACTTCTGTCTGAAGTTTGCTGTGAGTGCTTCAGCATTATCTTTTGCACTGATGTGCTAGGCTCTTCCATCATTGAGGATGGGGATATTTGTGGAGTCTCTTTCTCCAGTGAGTTGTTTAATTGTCCGCCACCATTCTTGACTGGATGTGGCAGGAGCGCAGGGCTTAGATCTGACCCATTGGTTGTGGGATCGCTTAGCTCTGTCTATCACCTGCTGTTTATGCTATTGGGCGTGCAAGTAGTCCTATTTGGTAGCTTTAGCATGTTCACACCTCAATTTCAGGTATGCCTGGTACTGCTCCTGGCATGCCCTCCTGCACTCTCCTTTGACTCAGGGTTGGTCCCCGGCTTGATGGTAATGGTTTAGTGGGGAAATGCCGGGCCATGAGGTTACAGATTGTGCTGGAGTACAATTCTGCTGCTGTTGATGGCCCACAACGCCTCATGGATGCCCACTCTTGAGTTGCTAGATCTGTTCAAAGTCTGTCCCCATTTAGCACGGAAGTAGTGCCACACAACATGATGGAGGTTATTCTCAATGTGAAGGTGGAACTTTGTCTCCACAAGGATTGTGTGATGGTCACTGTCACCAAAACTGTCATGGACAGATGTACCTGCAGCTGGCAGATTGTTAAGGATGAGGTTAAGTATGTTTTTCCCTCTTGTTCATTCCCTCACCACCTGATACAGACCCAGTCTAGCAGCTATGTGATTTAGGACCTGACCAGCTTGATCAGTACTACAGCTGCTGAGCCACTGTAGGTGGTGGACATTGAAATCCCCCACCCAGAGTACATTTTGTGCCCTTTACATCCTCAGACCTTCCTCCAAGTGTTGTTCAACATGGAGGAGTTCTGATTCATCAGCTGAGGGAGGACGGTACGTGGCAATCAGCAGGAGGTTTCCTTTCCCATGTTTAACCTGAAGCCATGAGACTTCATGGAGTCCAGTGTCAATG